TTTTATTTTGTTTTGTTTCAGGAGAAGTATTTGAAAGTGAGAGGGTACTTATTGGACCTAATTCTTTTCTTTCTTTCCCTTCCTCTAAAATGTGTAAAGGCTGTAGAAAACATGGAAGAGGAGTAGGTTTGAGGGTTGTTTCAACAAAGAAAAACTCTGTATGCCTGAAAGTAGGGTTTGCACTGAAGTCCGAAGGGAGCTGGAGCAGGTGCTGTTTCACACACGCCTCCACCTGTGTCACTGCTCCGTTGATCTCCTGGCCCCATTAATGCAGTGCCTGTCAGCACAGCCCTTCTGGGTGGTTCTGATTCTGGACTAATCCCCAGCTCCTCCAATCCCTCCTGCCTCCCTTTCTGCTATGGGCACAGAGAGAGGTTTCTGCCCAGAGCATTCTCTCTGTACTGGCATGTTCATATCCAAAGGTTTCACAGCACACGGGCTCCAGTGTGTCTTGAAAGTGAGGTTGTGCGGGCTACCACACTGTAGCCTCTAGGTGCTTTTTGACTTTAGAACAAACTAGTTGCTGTACAAGTTTTGCCAGAGAAACATTTGCTTTTGATTTGAGGAAGCTTTACATTGCCATTGTCAAGTTTGGAGCCACATCGCTCACACCTACACATTTCCCAGATTTTCGGGAAGGGAATGGCACCTGCTGTTGCTGTTTCCCATCAGAGTTCCTCTCCTTCCCTGTTTAGCTTTTATAGCTCAATTTGCTTGTGAGTTTTTTTTTTTAAATCATTCATTATTATTCCTTTTGTAATCATTTTCACCTAGTGGAGCAAAGGAGATAATTTTTGCAGGTTGTATCACTTTACTATGAAATTAATTCATTCTTTTCGAGAGAATGAGTCTAATAGTGTGGCCAAGTACTTAGGAATCAGCAAGCTGCTAACTTCATGATTGTCAGCCTGTTTCTTGATTCCTGACTGCTGACTGGCGTTCCCACCTCCTAGACTGCCGTCCAGGGAAGAAAGGAGTAGAGGACGAGCAAGCCTTGATGAATGCTTGTCCTCTGTATTTCCTGTAAATGTGATAGCGTACTTGTGACTTGTAACACTTGTTGTGTGTTAGATTACTGGTGCATTTGGCCATAAGGGAAGGCTTATTCAGAGTGACAGTCGATCCTATTTGGATTATTGTTCTAGAATGATTACCAAGAAGAATAATTGTTACCTAGATGAATCTTTTGACCTATTTATCTAGAAACATGGTGTCACTTGTAAAATAAGAACAGATGTCTAAATCATGCTCATTTCATTCATTGATTCATTCATTCTCATTCAGTTAGAGGTGAGGCATGGTCTCAGACTCCTGAACTGATGAGACTCCTGCCTCAGCCTCTCAAGTAGCTCAGACTGCAGGTGTGTTATGTTATACCTGGCACTAGTTTTATCCGTTAAGTGCTTTAGAAAATCCGTTGGAAATAAATTCACACATTTATGCAGATCACCATTAGTAGGTAAGTGCTCAATAAATTTCATTAGATATAGTTAATATCTCTTAAGAAATTTTCTGTGAGCTGTTACAAATTATAAATTTTTAAAAATTATAAAAAAGTATTTTGAAGTATACATACAAAAATACAAATTACTGGTAATTTTAGATTGACAATATGCTATAACGTATTGAGAAATCATTTATACTTTGGCCAATCAAAAACTAATTAATTAGCTGAAATCTATCTTGGTAGAGCTTCTTATCTTTTCCTTCTTTTTCTTTTTTCTTGGTACTTGGAATTAAACCCAGGGCTTTGACACTGAGCTGTGTTTTTATTTGGAAAGGATTTCACTAATAGTGAAAAGAATGTTGGGTAGGCTGGGCTCAAACATGTGATCCTCCTGCCTCAGCCTCTCATAGTGCTGGGATTATTGGCATGGTTCCCCCTCACCCCCCAAAAAAACACCAGGAGAGCATACTTTTGTTGCAGAGGTTGAAGTTACACACTTCAAAGAGGTGCCCTTGGTGTACAGAGGTGGTGTACAGAGGTAGTGTTCAGTGGTAGGAGCCCACCCATTTGTGCACAAGTTAAGAGTACCCCAGTGAGGCAGATACCCTAGCTTTCAAGCTGTTCTTAGATTGGCTGCTTTAAAGGTCAGCGGGAGAGGGGGTTAGATGACGTCTCAGCTTTCTAGTGGAATCAGTGACTCTGACTTGTTTTGATTTTCCATGTAAACCTTTCCTATTTGTCAGCGTCATAAATGTATGTTTAATAATTTAATTCCTCTGACAAAACACTGTTCTACTGCAGATAGAAACAAATTGCACAGTGGTGAATCCTAGGGAGATAGAGTGTAACAGGATGACAGTGTGGTCTAATTAATTTCTTTCTTCCAAATATGGGCTGAGGTAGTCAAATTTATCATGCTGCTAAATCAGTGTATTTTATTCTTTGAGTTCAGATAATGTTTGTGGCTATAATTGGAATATATGTCAGTAAGTTTCTTTTTTGTCACTCACTAATATCTTTAGATGCCAGCACTAATAGGTGTTAATGCTCAATTGGCAAAATTGTGGAAGGCAATTTAAATATCATCTCTATTTGTTTTTCTTGCAAGTTGGTTTCTTGCAAGTTGACCCTAGTATAATGCCTCTTTGTTATATTTAATAATAAACTTCAAGATGAATTTAATGATTTTTATAAATATTCACAAAAGAAACAAGCATAAACTGCAAACAAACAAGCAAAGCAGGACTTTTGCTTCCATTCATCTCAGTTCATTAGTAATGGTATATAAAGGATATCATCAATGGGAAAAAACTGAATCTAAATTCTGCTCACTTGTATATTGCAAAGAACTGTTTAGAAATATGAGATCTTTTTTTTTTTTTTTTTTTTTTTTTTTGGCCTCACATACACTCAATCATCCATTCATTCAGTTGTCATTTATCAGACCTCACTAGTAGCTCCATACTTGAGTGCATATCTTAGAGTTCCATCTTCATCTTTCGGAAGCTTACCATGTAGCCTTAGAGATGCAGCCTGCATATAACAGCTTACCATGCAGCCTTAGAGATGCAGCCTGCATGTAACAGCTTAGCATGCAGCCTTAGAGATGCAGCCTGCATGTAACAGCTTACCATGCAGCCTCAGAGATACAGCCTGCATATAACAGCTTACCATGCAGCCTCAGAGATGCAGCCTGCATATAACAGCTTACCATGCAGCCTCAGAGATGCAGCCTGCATGTAACAGCTTAGCATGCAGCCTTAGAGATGCAGCCTGCATGTAAAAGCTTACCATGCAGCCTTAGAGATGCAGCCTGCATGTAACAGCTTACCATGCAGCCTTAGAGATGCAGCCTGCATATAACAGCTTACCATGCAGCCTTAGAGATGCAGCCTGCATGTAACAGCTTAGCATGCAGCCTTAGAGATGCAGCCTGCATATAACAGCTTAGCATGCAGCCTTAGAGATGCAGCCTGCATATAACAGCTTACCATGCAGCCTCAGAGATGCAGCCTGCATATAACAGCTTACCATGCAGCCTCAGAGATGCAGCCTGCATATAAAAGCTTACCATGCAACCTCAGAGATGCAGCCTGCATGTAACAGCTTACCATGCAGCCTTAGAGATGCAGCCTGCATGTAACAGCTTACCATGCAGCCTTAGAGATGCAGCCTGCATGTAACAGCTTACCATGCAGCCTTAGAGATGCAGCCTGCATGTAACAGCTTACCATGCAGCCTTAGAGATGCAGCCTGCATGTAACAGCTTAGCATGCAGCCTTAGAGATGCAGCCTGCATGTAACAGCTTACCATGCAGCCTTAGAGATGCAGCCTGCATATAACAGCTTACCATGCAGCCTTAGAGATGCAGCCTGCATGTAACAGCTTATCATACAGCCTTAGATATGCGGCCTGCATATAACAGAGGAGAGTAAGATAAATGGTTGTGGAATAGAAGCAACAGTTACTGCCAAAATTTAAAATAGGAAGCTATCTACTTGGGTGTATTTTGACTGGAAAGCATACACAGGATACTGCAAATTATAATTCTGTTGGAAAATAAAAACTATATATACAGGGTTCTAAATTCTAGTATCTAGGCATTCTTTTAGTATCTGATGTAGGATTGTGAAATAAAACACAAACTCTGGATGTGTCAAAAATAATTTCACCTAAAACTTGTTTGTAATTGCAATACAACATTAGGCCAAGCACCCAGTAAGTGTCAGCAGTTAGAACTGAAGACTCATGCCTTTTACCTCTCCAGAACCTTCACCCACTGTTTGCCTCCAGGATATATAGAGTTCCTTGCCCATTTAGAAGTCCGTGTTCTAGAGCAAGTACAGTAGCATTCTCTGAGTCTCTTAGAAGGTCCTTTAAACCTTACTTTTAACTTAAAGTTGGAGGGCACATTAGAAGAGGTGGATGGTGAGGGGCATCTTCTGAGCTCTTTCCTGTCTCATTTTCTTCAAATGGAAATACTGGAAACAAATTATTTAGCTTACTTGGGAGAACTGACAAGTCTCAAAATTCAGAATATTGGGTCCTATTAAATTTGGATCGCAAGCACAGAGATGCCTCCACTTCCGAAGTCATCCTGATTATCCTTCTCTAGCCTACAAGGCAGCGAGATTAGTTCTTGCTTGTTACCATTACCTTAGCAAAGAGGCAGGGTTGCCATCAACAGCTTCCTGAGTGAGTTGACACAGGAAATGGCCAGAGCTTCGTGCAAGTGCATGTTCTTCTGGCCTCAGCAATGCCCACTGACACCAGGGAAGGCTCTTTGGAGCCTTGTATTTGTGCACTGTTTCCAAAATGTGACGCTGACGAACCAGAAAATGATGCCTTAGATTGATGGAAAGGTTCCATCATTTAGGCTCTTGTGATGTTGGCATTGGTTAGGCTCTTGTGATTTTAAAGTGTGCTAATAGTGATTTAATGCCCCCGTTTATAAGGGAGTCTATGTAAACACAACATCAGCATTAAAGCATTAGGGCATGGTGCTCCGTGGCAATATTACATGTATAATCATTTGCATTCTTAATGTTCCAGAACCCTGGGGTTATTAGTGAAACGCTTGGAGAAGGGTGGTAAAGCGGAGCAAGAAAACCTTTTTCATGAGAATGACTGTATTATACGGATTAATGACAAGGACCTTCGGCATAAAAGATTTGAAGAGTAAGTGTGTGCGTACGGCATGGTGCAGGTCAGCTCACCCAGTGTCCCCGACCCATCTGTGGTACTGATACTGGAGAGAAGGATTTTCTGCCACTAGCTGGTTTTTAAAATTTTAGTCCAGCTCCAGGTAACTACTGCCATTAGGCTATCTTTCAGAATGCCCTTGAACTGGTGGACCTCTTGGGGAAATCCGATGGCTTGAGGCTGCTGCTTCTCACCTTTTTGAGAATACACCAGTGTGTTTCTTTATGTTTTGTTTCAGCTCACATTTCCAAGGTTGTCACGTATGTCTCTGTATAAATAAGCAGAAAGCTCCTTCGAGCCACAATATCATCTTACTAAGATTATTTTTATGCTACCTTAAGCCCGTATTCAATTAAAAAGGGAAAAATATACCAGCCAGTCTCTATAAAATTGGCCAGGTGTGAGCAGAACCTGGCGTGAGGACTTACTGGGGAAGCCGCAGGAGAGGAGAGCTGCCTCTCACACTGGTCATAGGGTGGCCCTGGAGCCCCAGGGCTAGTGACAGCAGGAAGCCCTGAGAGCCAGTCTGTGCACCTCACCTCCCCCTCCTCATCTCTTACCGAGTTCTGGGCCAGAACCCAGTGCCTTGCAAGTGCTCCCCGCTGAGCTGTACCCCCACAGTGTTTCGCTTTGCAGGGACTGGTGTTCTTGAGATTTTTATACACAGGGTTGAATGAATTTTGCTGGTAAGTACTGAGTCCTTAGGTACTTTCTGTAGTTTTCTGAGTATGATTATAAAAACTTTTATATGGCCCATTTGTAAGAAAAATTTCAGTTCTGGCCAACTGTATAGGTGAATATGGTAGAGAAAAGGCTGGGTTTGATTTATATTAACATTAAAATTAGAATACCCCCAATTACTGAAAACTACAGTTTATATCTACTTTTTTTTTTTTTTTTTTGTCTTTTTACATTTTTATCGGTACCGGGGATCGAACTCACGATCGCCTGCTTGCAAGGCAGGTGCTTATGCCGCTGAGCTAAATCCTCAGCCCGAAAACTATAGTTTTATGATTTCTGTTTTAGAACACAGTATTTTGTCTGCAGTGGTAGATACGTTTGCCATTTTTATTTAGGGACTGAGAATTTTACATTTGAAGAAGTCGCTCTGCTTATATTGGAGCCTGCAAACTTGATTAATAAATGGATTATCAAAATTCTGCTTTTGAGTTTCAACAGTCTGTCAGTTCTTATCGCTTAATTAGTATGCTTAATTAAGCTCATAATATCTCCTCATCTTCCAGTCTTAATTTGCTAATCTTCCATTCTTCCTCAAACCCAGAGCACAATGTACGTTTCGCGAAGCCATGTGTGCACCCATCATTTGGTTCCAAGTGATTCCTGCGACAAACAAAGAGCAGTATGAACAAGTGTCCCAGAGTGAGAAGGGCAGCTGCTACTCCAGCCGCTTCGGCCCTGACAGCCAGTACTCGGACAACAGGAGCGTGACCAGCACCGGGCCTCACGTGCTGCCTCGAGCGTCCAGACTGAACCCCCCGCCCGAGCACGCGGACGCCCCCCCGAGACTACCTCATGGCACACACCCCTCGGCAAAGCCCCCCGCGGCCCCCGCCCCGCACAGTGTATTTAGTCCGAGTGCAAGCAGCGGTTACAACACCAAAAAAGTGGGCAAGAAGCTCAATATCCAACTTAAGAAAGGTATGACTTGGCCCACTGGGCTTGATGAAATTGCTTTAAAAAGCCAACCAAGTAGGCAGAAGTGCCTTGGCTGTTTGATTGGTTTTGGGTTTTGGTTTTGCAGGGCAGGTGCTGTATGCTGAGATACACCCCGTAGCCCAGGGCCTTGAGCTTTTCAACTGACTGTTGTGTAACAGAAAACTGATACGAAACTTAAAACCTTTTTTTTTTTTTTTTTTAAAGAGACTCTCACTTTGTGACATACGTAAAATTGTATTGTTATGTTTTTCAAATTCACTTTTCAATACAGAAATTAAAATTGAAAGTTCAAAGACTAAGACATTAAAACCGAAGTGTATGAAAAGCTAGCAGTTGCTCAGTTATTGCTGTAGTAATTTTGGGTGTGGGCTTTCTACTGAGCTACCCCTCAGCCCTTTTTTCAAATCTGGTTCTGAGACAATGTTTCATTGAGTTGCCCAGATTGGGCTGTCACATCTGGCAGTAAAACTTTTGATAATGAATGAAGGTGATTTCAGAGCATTACTGCGCAAAACAGAACAAGAGTGAGGATATTGATCAGTTGATTGATGGATGACTGATTCATTGGGACAGGGTGTTGCACCATAGCTCATGCTGGCCTTGAACTCACTATGTGGCCCATGCTTACCTCAAACTCTCAGCAGTCCTCCTGCCTCAGCCTCCTGAGTGCTGGGATTATAGGCGTGCACATGAGGGTTTGACAGTTTTGTTTTACCCTTGCTGTCCAGACATAGTCTTTAGAGAGGACTGGAGAGGTTGAGCCCTTTGGTCCATGCGGCCTGCTGACCATGGGCTGACCAAGTGGCTCCTTGAGGCTGTCAGTGTTCCTCAGCCAGTTGCTAAGAAGCAGGCATCTCTGTCTCCCACTTTCCCCAATCCTACACTAGTTCTTCTGGGGCCACCTCTGCAGCATGGGGCAGACTGCCAGACTTGCTGTCTTCCAGCCAGCCCTCCATCCAAGCACTGAGATAGACAGGCTCTTCCTCATCCGCTAAGCTAAGCACATTCAACTATTTTAAAATCACATCTTTTGAAATCATGTCATTATAAAAGTATTTTTATGAGCTCACTTGCCTGCTAGGATTGGGTGGACGTTATTGCAGTGGGGATCTCCTGACATCCGGTGGCTGCTGGCTATAGATCAGTCCCCAATACTCTTCACCAGCTGGATATGCACACTCCCTACCTCTCTTTCCATCTGGGCTTGCCTTTACAAGGTGGTCGGCACTGCTGTTTCCTTTCTAAATCATACTCACACGTGCAACTGTGGATGAGCCACCGTTTCCTTTTCTCTGTTGCTACTTGTGACTCGCCAGGTCCTCACCTGCCACAAGCAGGAGGTGACAGCTGCCCGTACCCTGTCGAGCACACGAGTCTGGCTGCAGAGACTGCCCAGTCCCCAAATGGGCTTCTTCCTTGTACTCCACTCATAGGACAGCACCTAGCTTTTAACCAGAAACATCCAGGAGCACAAGTAGAGTTCTATTAAAAAAAAAAATTAAATTATGCTTTGAATCTCTCAAGAAAGGTACCCTATTTTCTTTGGCTATTATCATAATGACAGTTCATAATGAGCAGTAGAAAATATGCATTTAGTTAATTACAGTTTTGCATAATAAGCAGGTCTAGCAAACTGATATAATATGAACTTTTTGAATGAAGTGTAATTTTATTTACTATTCACAAAATATTTTTTTCGAATGTTGGAATTAGTAGTTTTATTTTGATAACATTTAGGATTATATAAATGGAATTGCATTTATACAAGGTAGTTTAGAAAGGCTGAAGTTAATCCATATAAGAAAAGTGGAAGTGATAATTTTAAGTATTTTCCTACCTTACTCTGGATAAGAGGCCCATAGATCTATCTTGATAATAATTGACTGGTTGTGAGAATGTATAACCTGAAATACATTCAGCCTATGCCTATAACTGATAGTTACAAATATTTTATACAAATACGGTTATGTTTACTGCAAATGAGGAGGGAAAATTATGTTGATCTTCTTTGATTAGATATTTTAATAATGAATGTATGAGAACTTCACTGTAGTTCGCAGTTCTGTTTTTACCAATTACTGGCACATTTCCAATTTTTAACAAACTCTGTGGAAAACAGTGTATGTCAGTGGTAAACTTTACATGCAGGTCAGACTGAACTAATGCACTTTGGATGAGAGCAATTATTTAAGAACTGTGACCAGCTCTTAGTACTAACAAGAGAAGCCTTCAGGATAACAACATTCCAGCATAATCTGGGACCTATTTCCTATCACATGACAAAGTAGAATGGCCCTAATGTACTTGCTTCCATAATTAAGATTTTTCAATATTTATTGCCATTTTGGTGTTCTCAAATACCCTGCTCTTTTGTAGAAATTAGCTTTTTAATAAAGTCGGAGAAGAAGGTCAGTGATCTGTTTTAGTCGATGCAAAATGTTTTGTTGGCTCTGCTAAATGAAAATTGATATCTATTTATCTTTCTTTTAAAGGTCATTGCCTGAACTTTTAGCTTACAGATTTAGGGGTTATTGCTGATATTTTAATAGTATAGAGGTTCCTATCACAGTCAGTCTTTGTAGTTCATACAAATTAATATTGCAAAAGGAGAATAATTCAGAATTCTTTCTTAATAAATGTTATTGCGAGTCATTAGAGTTCTGTGAAAGCACAGAGACATATGGACGCGTCCCAGCAGAGCAATTAGGAAAATTTCATATAGACAATGTGCCATTCAAGTCTTCAGCACAGACTTCTTGGAAATTAGCAGTCCAGGCACATGTGAGTTACTTCAGACTAGAAGTAAATGGGTGTTTTGTTTGAACTTGAGAATAGTTAGGGTTGTTTTTGTCATAGGTACAATGGAGTGTTCATTTCTGCTTTGTGTTTCTTCCTGAATCCACATTTCTAGTTGCTCTTTGTTTGTTCACGTCTGTGTTACATCTTTTGTTATAGTTTTACACCGAGCACGGCATCCAATTAATACACTGTTTTCTAGAGCTTTTGCCTTTACGCATCCCTTTATTCTTCCCATAATGAGCAAGTATTTGTCCTTATATGATTTTAACTGAAATGGAACATAGTGTCTTAAGAAGTAAGACTTTTTTTTTAGGCTGAGGTAGAAATTGTTCATTATTACAAGTGTTACAAAAATTCTCTGATTCATTAGAAATTTGTCATTATCTCCACATTTATTCCTTGGCACATTCTGGCTTGTCACATGTTGGATCTAGTGACATCTGACCCCCTTTTTACACTGCATTGAGCTTTAAGATTGCTTGTCAAGAAAGCTGCCAAAGAACTGAGAATTGAAATTATAGAAATCAAGAGAGTAATTTATAAATGCCTCATTAGTTCCAATACCTTTAAACATAATAGTCTAACCCTCAGATTCGGTAGTTATAATCTGAGACGAAAACTTGAGAGTTTGCCTTTTTTGTCAGGGGATGGACGGGTGGGTGCACATGAGAAGATTTAGGTTAATGAGCAGAGGATTGAATGAGGTGAGGAGGTGAGGATCTGGGTAGGAATCTTCTTCATCTCTGAACATTTTTCTTCTCCATTCTCCTACCTCTGTCCCTCAAACCTGGAGACTGTTGTTATGCAACAGAATTTGACAGTTGCGGTACCATGGATTTTAACAGAAGTTTGTTTTTCTTTTTCATGTAGCTCATTTAATACTCAAAATTTAGAATGACTTAAAAACTTTTAGAAAGCACATTTGTATATTAACCTTTATCTGTTGGCTTCATCTTTGAGATTTCCATTCTTCTTAGAATAATGTCTTTTGATAGATAAACCACTTAAACTTCCCATGATTTAGTCTTCTTTTTAAAAAATTTGGGGCTGGGGATTTAGCTCAGCGGCATAAGCACCTGCCTTACAAGCAGGCGGTCGTGAGTTCGATCCCTGGTACCGATAAAAATGAAAAAGACCAAAAAAAAAAAAAAATTTTATTGCATGCTGGGTGTGATGGTACATCCTTATAAACCCAGCAATTGGGAGACTGAGCGGGAGGATCATAGTGATTTTGAGGTCAACCTGAATTATATAGTTAGACCCTGTCTTGTAAAACCACACACACACATGCACGCTCACACACATACACACACACACAAGAAAATTATATTACAACTGTTAAAGTAGTACAAGAACATGGGCCATTGTGAACTTTACAAATGTTGCATTGAGGCAGAAAATGATATTTATGTATGACAAGTGTGTGAAATTCAAGCAGTCTCATTTTATTTAGCTTTGTTTCTTGTTACATCTCTAGGTACGGAAGGCTTGGGGTTTAGCATCACTTCCAGAGATGTGACCATTGGTGGCTCGGCTCCAATCTTTGTGAAGAACATTCTACCCCGAGGAGCCGCCATCCAGGATGGCCGGCTGAAGGCTGGGGACCGGCTCATAGAGGTGAGGAGCTCCCTGCCTGCAGGTGCCACCATTCCTGCAGTAGTTCATTTTCAGGGCTCAGGTTTTCAGTTATGTTCATAACACAGGAAATTAACGTATATATTTTAGCAGAAGTATGTATCACAAAATAATGTTTCTCATGTTATCTGCTGAGAAAGTGCCTTTTCATCTGGGTTACTTATAATGTTTAGTTACCCAGACCTTGGTTTATAAGATAAGCTAATCAATGTTTCATTATGTAAGACTGTATCTATCAGGTTATATTTGGGGATGGCTTTATATTTCTGTCCAGCAACATAGAAATGTTACCAACCGTATCAGAATGAAGACAGATGAAACCAATAAAAACAGAACGTCTTGAAGGAGCGAGAGAAGTTTCAGGTGACAATGTGGAGAACATAATGAGACCTCAAAACTGTCAGAAAAAAGAGTTTTTGAAAGTTTCCTTTCAGTACTTCATTATTTTCAGTTCGTTGGCATCGGAAGCCATCTTGGAAATAAATACTACATTTTCTCTGTGGGAAGGTTTGTATATGCAGAGAAACAAAAGGGAGAAACGAAGTATAATTAGCTATTTTTCCTCATGTTTTCTTCATAAACAGTCTGATTCCCCCTCGGCCACCTCTATCTCTGTCTCTTTTCTTTTTCTTTCTCTGTTTCTCTTTCTTCTTTCTTTCTGTCCCCCTTTCTCTTCCTCCCCCCTCTATGTGTGTTGCTGGGGCAAATGCTCTGTCCCTGAGCTCCCAACCTAGTACTGCCAGAACAACCAAAACACAGTACAAGCAAACAAAAACAAACTCACTTTGAAACCAGTAAATTTTGTGTCCATTTGGCATTTCAAGTGTATTGGTTACTTGCGAATATGCGGGCCATTGTAGCTTTGGGTTTTTGCATGAACCCTCAAGGGCTTATTACTTCCTAGCTTACTTCCAGATTCCCGGTCTAAGTTTTCTATAGCTTGTTTGTCCAGCCCCAGCTTCCTGGCCCACAGCTAATGACAGAGTCCAGCCTGAAAGGAGCTGTGTCCCAAGCAGACACAGTCTGTCCTGCACTGACTGTCTTTCTGCTGTCTGTCTGCGCGGCACAGCAGCTGAAATCGTGCTCTGATTTCAGGTGAACGGAGTGGACTTGGCAGGCAAATCCCAGGAGGAAGTGGTCTCCCTGCTGAGAAGCACCAGGATGGAGGGGACTGTGAGCCTGCTGGTCTTTCGCCAGGAAGATGCCGCCTTTCACCCGAGGGAACTGGTGTGTAATTCAGAGTGCAGTAGAGATTTCTGGTGCACACGAACCAGGGATCGGGTTAGCTCTACGGCGAGAGGTTTTCCTGGGAGTTTGCATACTGTGGATTTCTTTCAGCCCTAATTCAGGGCAAGCAGTTTTGTCTCTGCCGCTGTCTACTTCAGGCACTGATGCCCACAGTGGTGAGCAGAGAGGGTTTAAACATCAGATGGTAGGGATGGTTTTCTAGGATGTCAGATGCTTGTCACTGTGTATTCCCAGAGGAGCTCATTGACTTAGTTTGTGACTGTCACTCCGCAGGCTGGCATGGAAGCTGTGCCATCTTTTTCTCTTACAGCACATTTTCATGTTTCCTTAGTGGGTGTGGCAAAGCCAAATAAAGATGCTTGCTTACTGTTATATGAGAAGGAGTATCTTTCACAAAATCCTTATTATTGAACATAGAGAAAACTGGGTGGGAAGAAGCCCATGCAGTTACTCTCCAGAGCAGGCAGTGTGGTATGGAAGGCCATTAGCAGAATGAAGGTCATTTATTTGCAACTTACCTACTTTACTTTCTATGCTTACACCAAGAAGTCTGTTAGGAGCATTTGTGTGACATCAGTGTGAATGAAACATGTATATTAAATTTATGTAGTTCTGGGTGTTTTCCTGGAATAAGTGGTGAGTTCCATTTATTTACCAAAAGGACATAATTGGAATTACTTTCATCATCTTTTTATTGATGTGGTTAGAAAGCAGAGTGGTTTAAAATAAAAATGGTACTTTGAATATTTCAAAGCAGATTCTACTGAGGCCATGTTAGAAAGCTTGGCCTCTCTCTCAGTCTGCTTTTAGCTTTATCTAGACAACAATTAACTGCTACAGAATAGAATGGCAAGGTCTTAGGGGTGCAGTCCCCTGGTTAGTTGTCCTTACCTAATTCTCTTGGGTGATTTCTTCAATTATTGATGTGTCATGTTGGCAAATTTTTTCTTTCATTCTAAATAAAATATCTACAAATTAGATATAGTTATCTAAACACTCATTTAAAAATAAAGATAAAATGTTAGTGACAATGTGTCATCCCTTAGTCATGCACAAATCTAAAGCTATGTCATTCTGTGGCAATTTCAGAGTGCCATAGGGTTGAAAAGTGAACACTTGTGTTTTAGATTTGATTTCGAATACATTATGAAACTTCTTTATATTTAAAAAATGTTTAATGCATTATTCCTCAATTTAGATTCCGTTTTCCATTTCCCCCCACTGCCATCCAATTTTGTGCTTAAAATGCCACCTGATCCTAAATCTGGAGACGTCTCTATTAAATTGTAAATGAGCACTTACCCAAACAACAGCTCAGCTTTCCTTGTGATTTGATGAGGCTCTAATTCTTCCCGGGTGCCTGGTGTGATGGTTGGCATTAGTGTGCCCGCGCACTGCTCTTCAGCAGTCGTCCCAGGCCGCTGCCAGCACGGAGCATTCCCAAGGTTACTCAGGTTCTTCTGCTCCAATTTTGATCTTCCTAGCTTCTGTTCTCCCCGTCTGCTGCCTCCTTTCATTTTTTTCTTCTCTTCTTTTCCTTGATTATTTAATTTATTGCTTGTGAGCTTCTCATTAAGGAGTGAGCCAGTAGGCCATCCGTCTATTATACAGGATAATTTAAAAGAGCAAAATTCCAAAAACTTAAGTTAAAGGGGGCCTTCAAAGATGATCTTCAAATTCAATTAGGATCAGAACTCTTTTTCTCTGTTGGAGGTGTCTGTGTTTAAGTTCCATGGGCCTTAATCAAAATCCTTTTTATCAATCTGTGTCTTTAGGGAAAAAAAGTCAACCCACATACCAACCTTGTAAGTACTCATATGTATGGGGAACATACCACATTTATTCCCTGCATAATATTTCAAAGTTTAAAACCTGTGGTGCAGACTGGAGCTCAGACTGGTTATTATCTGTCTAGTTATCAAATGATTGTATACCTCAAAACTTAGATTTGTCTGGGGAAAGTGAAAACAAAATCAGAAACAGTAGCATGATTAGGAAAGCAGTTTGGTAAGATCTATTCTCTTGTAATTAAGTTCCTGATACGTTGTGAATGAGCAGATACAAACTGATACCTTGAAATACTTGTGGAAACCAGTGCCTGGTTACCGCACACCACTTTAGATGTCTAGAAGACCCAATTGTACATTGCCCTCATAGAACCCCCTTCACCTACCTTGTGGATTTTAAGAACCAACAAAGTTTCCTTTAAAACCAAACATTGTGTCCCTGTGTGTTGTAGATGGCTTTGGTCAGTCTGTATTTATATTTTTCTTCAATTCTTCTAGAATGCAGAGCCAAGCCAGATGCAGATTCCAAAAGAAACGGTAAGAGCTTCGTCTTTTGCAGGGTGCAGAGTTGCTGAAAAGATAAACTAACCTCTTACTAACTACACATGAAGTTACTTGTCCTGCCTTTTCCCAAAATGATCTGATTTTTAAAGGACTCATTATTACTACCCTAAATGGAGTATATCTTGTTATTATTTTTGGTCAGACATGTATAACAAAGAGAAACACAGTAGAATAATTCACTGTTAACTTGTATAAAGGACCAAAACCTGGTGAGGGTAGTGTTTTGACATGTATGCAACATGCTTCATGAGTTGCAAAATGTCGTACGTTACTGTAAAATGGGAAAAACTGGATTCCAGAAAGCCCTTGAATCAGGCACACAAAAAAGCAAGGACAAAAGTGAGTACAATAATACAATGTTATAAACAGGCAAATTAAAATGACATCAGTAACCAGGCTGAACACAATGGTCATGATGACCAGAAAAGGGGAATTTCCCTCAGTAAAAGCTAAGTACTCTCTGCTCTGATGGCAGTGCAGTTGGAGTCTGTTCTATTCAGGAGATAACCCCAGTTCCAACTGGAAGTAGAGGTTTGCTGAGCCCTGGCTGGAGTTATTAGTGTTGTCAGGAAGCACGGATTCCGGGAAGGCAGGGTTGTTGACTGTCAGTCTCTGTGAAGGCCCCTTGGAGACAAAGGAAGGGCATCTTATGTTGATGTTAAGATCATCTGCTAGAAATTCTTAACACTCAGGGCCTTTTGTACATCAATATGGCATAAAACGCATTCCCAAACTGTTCTAAATAAAAAGTTTAACAAAATCGTATCCTCAGTGGATAACATTGGTACATGTCTTTCCAAAAATTGTCAAGTAAACAACACCAACAGCAAAAAAATATAAGTAAAAGGTATTTCTATAACATAATTAGCAAGTTTAATTTTTGTATAGATTCATGAACTGTTAAATAGAATGTTACTTTCAAATATTCCGTCACTGTAGTACTGGATGCTATTTCAGACCTCACTTGAACCTCAATAAAGCACCTTGAGGATGTTGTACATTGACAATGATGAGTTATACAAAAGTATAGTCTAGATATTTGTAAAATAAATAGATCATTAATATCTATTCAAAACACAGTGGTACAAAAGAAAGAGATTCTAAATAAAATGGAGGACAAGAACAATTTATATTTGCAAATGCAATTATTGTAGCAAAGTATAATGCAAAGCCACAATACTTAAACCAAGATAGTATTGCTATAGGAATAGATACATAGATTATTTAAAACAGATTAGAAAAGGACATAGTATGTATATGGATGCATGTATGTTACAGATGGTATTTTATTTTATTATTATTTTTTGTTTGGTATCAGGGATCAACTTCACAACCTTGTGCTTGCCAGGCAGGTGCTTATACCACTGAGCTAAATCCCTGGCCTTAATGTTATTTTAAATTAGTGGTATAATGTGGTTTACTCAGTGTTTAGAACAATTCATTATTTCTTTTTAAAATTTACTTATTCGTGTGTTTATTTACTTAATTTTGGGGTGTTGAGGACAGTAAGCATACTGTCTACCACTCAGCTGTACCATTCACTTGTGAAAATTAGATTTCTTTTTCTCACTATACAGTGGTACCTTGGTTCATGAACTTAATTCCACAATTCTGTTTACAGACTGACTTGGACAAGAGCCTGATCAAATTGAGCAGTTAGGTTCCTTTCAGCTTAACAAGGAATCAAAAATCTCGAAAGAAATTATAGGACAATTTCAGTGTTAATTTTTGGTAGTAAATACCTGTCAGCAGGATGAGAATAGACTGGCAGATTTGTGTTTATCCACACATAGAGAGACAGTGATTCCAGTGTTTACACTTAACATTTTTTAGTGCTATGGTGGTGCAGAAAATATACACACCAACAATTCTGGCTTCATTTGCAGTGTACTACATGAAATTACAGGAAGTATCCAACACTTCATTAATAATAAATGCTGTCTTAGGTGACTGCTCCAGTGTGGGCTAACACAAGTAATTTGTACACATTTTTTTTTTTTTTTTGGTACTGGGGATTGAACTCATGACCTCATGCTTGCCAGCCAGGTGCTTATGCCACTGAGCTAAACCTCCAACCCTCTGAACACATTTTGGGCAGGCCAGTGTAAGCTATGATTTTCAGTGGGTTAGTAAGTTAAATATACTTGGTTTATGATATTTTCATCTTACAATGGGTTTATCAGGATGTAATATTATTCTGAGGCAAGAAACATTTTTTATACATTAAGCTGTTTTAAAAATTACAGCAGTGACTATACCCTGAAACAGTTGCAAGATAAATACTAGGGAATGAACTATTTTCAAAGCAGTTCTTGAATGAAGTGTCATTTCTTTGTGGTTTAGAAACTTAGTAGCATAGAACTTAGTAGCAACCACATCTTTTCAAGTCTCAAACTGTCAGAGCTGGGAAATGATGCTAAGAGTGAAGATAGATGTGATCTGTCTTCATGTAGTCAGGCCTGCCGAGGAAGCTGATGATTTGCTATGACTTCTTCGGCAGCTCTAAATGCAACAGGGCCACTGCATCCTATAGTGGTATGCCCAAGGGAAAAGTGTGTCTAAGTTCTGATTATATGTGGGATTTTCCTAATTGCTTCTTTCTTTGTTTGGAGACATGGGGATTGAACCCAGGGCCTTTGCCCTGAGCTATATCCCTAGCCCTTTTTAGTTTATTTTGAGACAGGTTCTTACTAAATTGCTTAAGCTGGGCTTGAAGGTGGGATCCTCCTGCCTCAGACTCCCAGTGTGTGGAGTTTACAGGTGTGTGCCACCACTTCCAGCTTTTCTCTGCCAGTTTCTGCCACATAGTGGGACTCATGATAATCTTCATACCAGGCTTTTGCTGTTCTAATTAGGGTTTTATAGTGATTTCTTTTGTTTCAGGATCTAGGTCTATGAAATACTAGATTACCCTTTTTTCCTGAGCCCCAGAAGGGGAGGAAGGTGACATGTGGTATATGTGCTATCCTAGGGACAGGTCCCCAGGAGGAGTGTTCGCTGTCGTCTTCTTTTCTGAAAGAGGTACTCTTTTATACTCAGGCTTTTCATATTTAACATAGCATATAAAATTATAGTAGTATTAGTGGTTGATGTTTATTAATCTGTTATTGTGCTCAGCTCTTTAGGGCAATTAGTTAATCTTTCCAGTATCCATGCTTTTGTTGGTAATATTTTCCCATTTAAAGCATAGCAAAAAGAATTAAATTAATAGTATCCCAGATCTTGGCATCAAGAATGAACTCAAGTTGTCTTGCTCTAAAATTGGCAGGTTAGAGTTTGCCTCTTGATATTGGCTTTTGGATTTTTATGTAACAGTTTGATATATGGAGTTTTAATAAATGGAAAAAAGATAGGTATTTATATTTTAAGGGACTTCAGAATGATTTCCACATTGGTGGTTGACTGTGATTGAATTTTACTAGAAATAAATGAAAAAGAACCCCATGGTCTTGTGGCATCTTATTAGCAACATGGTGAGACCATATCCCTTTCATTTTTCATATTGGTGACAGAAGTGTGTAGACCCTGCAGGAACACGTGCTCTGTATCAGTTCCTTTGCTCATCTACATGGAAAATCAACTTGAAAGTCTTGTTTCGGAAGGCTTTCCTGTGCTTTCCTCTGCTGGAAATGAAGTTCTCTCTCTGTGTGAGTCTTCCTCATATTCCTCTGTTGTTTGTATTTGTAGAATTAACTCATCTTGTTTTCTTATATACATTCTCTGATAGTGTTTACATTTTTGAGTAGTTGTAAACATCATAAGAATAGATACGTCCTAAAATACTTAGTTCCTGGGCTGACCAAGAATAAGTTAATTGGTTGGCTGGTTATGGTAATTACCTACAACTGATTTAGAGAACTAAGGTTATTAGTTTAGACAAATAGGGTCAATGGTTGGTGGATCTTTTGAATTTCTAGGATAAAAGTTTACTGTACATGTTCCACATATATATTGTTAAAGTAGAAGATTGAAATCTCTAGATTATCCATTAAAAATTGCACTACATGTGGAATTCTTTTTTTTTTGTTTGTTTGATTTTGTTCTTTCCTGTCACTTTGTGACAGGGTCTTTGTTGTATAGTTCCGGCTGGCCTTGAACTCATTTTGTAGGTTGGGCTGGCCTCCAATTTGTGGTGACCCTCCTACCTCAGCTTTCTGAGTGCTGGGACTACAGGTGTGCACCACCATGCCCAGCTTTTAACATGCTGGATTCTTTAGCAAAGGACCACATGTACCCATTGTATGTTGGACAGACTCTGCCTTTGTAATTCACTTGGCTGGGGATTCATGGATGTCCAGGAAGGGCTTGGTAAGACTTAAGTCTTGGTAAGAATTCCTAGAAAGGAGCACCAGTAGGGTGTGTGTGTAAAGTTATTAAAAGGAATTGCCTGGAGAGTTACGGAGGCTGGCAGTCCACATCTGCACATGGCCCCATCTCCTTTGGGAGGACCGTGTGAAATGTAACTGCATGCTGAACAGATTCAGCCTTGTTGGGTAGAACTTTAGAACAATAATGGGCCAGGTGTGGTGGCATATGTCTGTAAGCCTAGCACTCTGGGAGGCTGAGGCAAGAGGATGGCAAATTGAACAGACCTTGGACAACTCAATGACTTGGTGACACCCTGTCCTAAATTTTTAAAAAAGTAGATAATAAAAAAGGACTGAGGATATAGCTTAGTGGGAATGCCTATAGGTCCTTAGTACCACAAAAAAACCACGATGATATCAGACTGTAGAGATAAGGTGCAATATGAGCTTAGTTTCAAGAATTCAAAATATACTTTGGGCTGGTGGCACACATCTGTAACCCCAGCACTGGGGAGGATGAGGCAGGAGGATTGCTGCAAGTTCAAGACCAGCCTGAACTACATAGTGAGACCTTGTCTCAAAAACAAAATATTTCAAAATACAGTATAAAAAAAGTCTTCTCAGTCTTTCCCTGCTGAAATTGCAGACTTTTAAAAGTTTATTTTA